CCCGGGGGCAAGCAGGGAAGCCCTGAAGGAAGCAGCTATAGCATCCGAGCAAGAGACAGGAAGCATGAAGCTGATGGTGTCCCTTCTCCACTTACACTCCCTGGGCGTCCCACCCACCCCCAGCCCTGCCCTCCAGGTCCTCAGGTTTGTGTGTGTGTCCTGCCCTCCTGGGCCACCTGCGTCCCTGCCTTGAAGATCTTCCTTTGGAGGCCTTGTGGAGCCTTGTCCAGGAGGTCCTGCATCTGGGGAGAAGACCAAACCATGAAAAAACGAGTGGATTAATCCGAAGGTTCTACACTAGAAGGGCCTTTAGATAGATGGCCCACCCGTTTCACTTGAGACCCAAAGAGGAGATCCTTATGGGGGCGCACAATTTAGTGGTCAAAGGAGAGAGGAACAGGAGAGAGGAACTCACTAGGCTTCTGAAACACAATTCCAACTACCCCACTCCCAGGCTGCAACCCCCGAGTGGCTTCCTGTCCCGAGCAGTGGTGACCATGTTCAGTGAGGTCTTTGGGCCTTGTTTCAGACTGAATTGCGTCACCCCCACTGCGTGTTAAAGCCTTAACCCCCAATGCAACTTATTTGGAGGTGGGGCCTTTAAGGAGGTAATTAAGGTTAAATGAGGTCATAAGTGTGGGGCCTTAACCTGATATTACTGGTGTCTTTATGAAAAGAGGAGACACCAAGGGTGTGTGTGAACAGAGAAAAGGCCTTGTGAGGCTGCAGCCGCCTGCAAACCAGGAAGAAAGTCTTCACCAGAAACCAACCCTGCTGGCACCTTGGTTTTGGACTTCCAGCTGCCAGAACTGTGAGAAGACACTTTCTGTAGTTTACACCACCCCGTCTGTGGTGCCCAAGCCGATTGATGCAGAGCCCAGCTTCTGAACTGCCCAGTGCTCTTGTTAAATGTTCAGGCTCACAGACCCATCCGACCCCCTGAAGCAGAATCCCTGGGGGTCGGGGCCCGAGAATCCATGTTTTGAACAGGCTCCTGACGCTCACTGAAGTGTCTTCTCCATGAGCTCCTGAGGGCAGTGAAGACTGATTCCCCCCAACCCTCCGGCCACTAGCTCCTCTGACCGCCAGCCTCCCTCTCTGTGCCCAAGAGGACTTCACATCTTATCTGGCCTCCAGGTTAACTAGTAAGCTCACTCTGTCGAGTTGCCCCCTTTCCTCATACTCTCCCTGAGCCCTCCACAAGCCAAGCCCGGGCAGGGCTGGATGTGAAGTCTGGAAACCCAGAGATAAATCAGACCTGAGGCCTGTGACTGAGGCACTCGGGGTCCACGGTGTGAACTCCACACAGCTGTGATTAACCCCAACTCTGGCGGATGCGCTAGGAACTGCAGGAAGGGGAACTGAGTGACCTGGGAGTACAGGCAATGGTTTCAAGCTGCAGAATCCTGTAGGAATGGTTATTAATTTGTTGTATTTCTGCCTAGCTGCAGTGCAGGCAAGTTGCGGGCAAGTGCCCTGTCTCCTCTACCCGCTTGGGGCCTCATAATGGACCTCAATGATTTGTAGGTTCATGGCCCTCTGGCTGCTTTCAGCTTTACTAGGAATGGCCCTCCTAGTGGCTGGGGTCAAAGTTTTAAAAACGCAAGACCCAATCTGGCAGAACAGAGACATCCTTCAGAGTCCAGGAACCCGAGGTTCTGAGCCTAGTTTTCCCACTGACCACCTGTATGGTGTGACTTCAGACAATCCCGTTGTCTCTGAGTTTCCTCATCTGTAAAAGAAAAGAAGGATAATAATATTTACTCCACAAGTTTGTTTATAGAAGTAAACAAGCTAACCTCTGAAAAGCCCCCACCGTCTGGCACTTAGTTGGCCTTCAATAAAAGTTAACTTACAGAGGACTTCTCTGGTGGCAGAGTGGTTAAGAATCCACCTGCCAATGCAGGGGACATGGGTTAGAGCCCTGGTCCAGGAAGATCCAACATGCCGCAGGGCAACTGAGACCGTGCGCCACAACTATGGAGCCTGTGCTCTAGAGCCCACGAGCCACAACTACTGAGCGCGCACGCCTAGAGCCTGTGCTCCGCAACAAGAGAAGCCACCGCAATGAGAAGCCCGCGCACTGCAACAAAGAGTAGCTCTTGCTCGCCGCAACTAGAGAAACCCTGCATGCAGCAACGAAGACACAACGCAGCCAAAAAAAAATAAAAAAAGAAAGTGTAATAGACAACCTGTCAGTAATGACCCACTTTGCGTCCTGTCCAACTAATGGGCATTTACTGAGCACCCATCTTCTGGGTAACAGGCCTGATGCCCAGTGTTGGAAATCTTCAGGGTAACAGGCCTGGTGCCCACTATTGGAACAGTGGAGAAGGGCTCATGGCCTCAGTGCTGAAACGTCAGATCCAGGAGGGCAGGGACTTCTTGTTGCCATTGTATTCCCAGCAGCTGGAACAGGCCAGGCATACAATAGGCGCTCAGTTATTATTTGTTGAATGAGTGACATCAATCAATCAATCAATCAATAAATGAGTGATTGGAGAGCCTCTGACTCATTTTTAAGACCTTGAGCAAGTCCGTTGACATCTCTCAGCAGCTTTTTCCCCATCTGTGAAGCCACTGGTGGTTTGTTTTTTTTTTCTTTAAAAATAATTTATTAGTTTTGGATCACAAGATATAGGGAAGACACAAGGGCAACGCCTGTGACCCCTTGGGCCGTACTTCCCTTCCATAAACACCTAAACTTTTTTGGTTTTGGGGGGGTTTTTTTTGCGGTACGCGGGCCTCTCACTGTTGAGGCCTCTCCCGTTGCGGAGCACAGGCTCCGGACGCGCAGGCCCAGTGGCCATGGCTCACGGGCCCAGCCGCTCCGCGGCATGTGGGATCCTCCCGGACCGGGGCACAAACCCGCGTCCCCTGCATCGGCAGGTGGACTCTCAACCACTGCGCCACCAGGGAAGCCCCATAAACACCTTTTAGAACCCCAGACTCGTGCTGCCCAAGCATTCTCTCACATCCTAACAGCTGCAGAGTAGAGTACTGACCATGTGGGACGCTTAAGCAGACCCCCCTGTAAGCCATGTGAGCAGCCCTTCCAGTTAGGTCTTCCAGCTCACCTTTGCCAGTATTGCAACAGCACTGGTTGTTCGAACTGTCCATGTCCTAAAACTCTCATGAATGAATAGGTCACAGGCAAATTCTGCCTGCACAGCCCTTGCAAATATCTACGCTTTTAAAAAGGCCTTTCTTAAACAGCAGTGGCTAAGGCGCCTTCGCTATACCCAGTCTTCTAAGCCCCAGGCTGCCTGTGGCACCTGGATGGCAGCCCCTGGGGTCCCCCACATCCTAGGGTGGCGATGGAGGAAGGGCAGGCCAGGCCAAGCATGAAGAAGAAACAGTCAATTTTATTGGGCTCAGACTAAGAATCCATGATGGGTCTTGAGGGCCTCTGTGAATCGGTCGATTTTCTTCTCTCTGTTCTTTTCGGCCTGCTTCCGAAGCCTCAGGAGCTGCTGCTTTTCCCGGTAGTGGATCTTGGCCTTCTCCTTTCTCTTCTCCAGTGTAGCAGTTACTGCCTGGTACTTCCAGCCAACCTCATGAGCCAGGCGCCCTAGGTAGGCAAACTTCCGTGTAGGCTTCAGACGCACAACCTTAAGGGCGGCAGGAACCACCATCCGCTTTTTCTTGTCATAGGGTGGCGGGATCCCATCAAACACCTTGAGGCGGTCCAGAGCGGCCTGGCCTCGCTTGGTCTTGTGGGGCAGCATGCCTCGCACTGTCCGCCAGAAGATGCGGCTGGGGGCTCGGAAGTGGTAGGGGCCACGGGAGGGGTTGGTGTTCATCCGCTTGCGGAGGAATGCCAGGTACTTCAACTTGTTTCTATAGAAATTGCCAGAAATGTTGATGCCCTCACAGCGCACAACCACCACCTTTCGACCCAGAAGCACCTGCTTAGCCACGATGGCCGCCAGGCGGCCCAGGAGATGGCCTCGGCCATCAAGAACCATGAAGATGCCCCTCCGCCATCTTCTCTTCGGCAGCCGCCTGGGAAAAAAAGCGCCAGTGGTGTTTAATTCATATCGAGTTCCTGCCGAGCGGGAATAAGTAACAACAATAATAAGTAAACTTACTGAGCACTGCTATGGACCAGGCAGTGTTGTAAAGAACCCTAGGAGGTAATAGTATTTTACCTCCACTTTATGGAAGAGGAAACTGAGGAGCAAAGAGGCAGGGAAGGCTCCTGGAGAAGGGGGATTTGATCAAGTTTTGGAGGAAAGACTGGGGCTGGGACTGAGCAAAGTGAAGAGGATCCATGGCCCAGAGGGCAAGTCCCTGTCCAGGGTGTCTCTGAGCCGGGGTGGCTGCACACATGGACCTACGTGAAACCCGGCAGCCCAACCCCGCCCCCCGCGTCTCCATGACAACAGCCTCCGCACATGCGCCTCAAGCACCGGCGCCTGGGCTGGCGGCTTGAGCCGAAGCCGGACGCAAGCAGGGCGGAAGCTGGCCCGGCGGGCTGGGCGGCGGGAGCGCTGGGCGGGCTTTTAAAGGGGCGGTCTCCACCCGGGCCCATTCGCCCGCGGGGACTGCTGATGGTGAGGGCTGGGTGGGCCTGGGAGTCAGGATCCAGGAGGCAGAGGAGAAGCAGGTCTGTGTGACTCCCCCACCCCCCGGAGGTGACAAGGGAGCTAGGGACTGTGTAAATGCCCTCTGGGGCAATAATGGGATGGCTGTCCCCAGGGAGCAATACGGAGAAGAAAGGACTATGGAATTGCACCTTCTGGGTGATAAGAAGGGGAGGGGGGTGTGTAACCCCTCAGGATGTTGAAAGGGAGTTTGGATTCCAAAAATGTTAGTCTTAATAATGAGAAGGGTAGGGCTCCATAGTTGCTCCATCCCCCAAGGAGGGAGCTGGGGCTCCAGGGGAGAGTCCGAGGGCAGGTTAAGAGGCCTCACAGGTACAGCTTAGAACAGTTACCCTTTCCCATCCCCTACTCTCAGCATTCTACCATCTCCCCTCCCCTTCAGGTTGCCCAGCCATGGCCAGACTACCCGCCCCAGGCTCAGTGATTGTCCCAGACTGGCACGAGAGCGCCGAGGGCAAGGAGTACCTGGCCTGTATCCTGCGCAAGAACCGCCGGCGGGTGTTTGGTAAGTGCCCCCCTCCCCCAGCCTGTCACCTGCCACTCCCTGGGGAGAATGGTGTCCCCTGTGGTGGGGGGGGCGTGGAGCAGAGAAGCAGGGCAGTGAGGGCCTTCTCCACTGCACTCCTCAACCTTGGGGACCCCAGAAGCCCTATCCTGGCGTCCCCACCCCCAAACCTCCTTAGCGTTAATTCTGTCATCAGAGCCATGGAAACAGCCAAAACCCTGCCAGGAACCACTGTCACCAGAGAGGCTGTTGATTGAGGCCTCACCTGGTGGCAGGCCCTCTGCCGGGCACTTTATACAATGGACTCCAATTTAACCTTCTCAACAGCACGTTGCAGACTTGTCCAAGATCCCCTAGTGAGTAGAGACAAGCCTCTTCCATATCCTGTTGTCTCCAGGATAAGGCACTCATGTTCCCCAGGGTGAAGCTAACCCACCCAGGCAAGGTCAGCTGACAGGCCAGCAGAGGGGCCTGGCATCGGCTGCAGGAGTCCAGCTCTGGCCGGGAGAGACAAAACACCAGAAGGCTTAAGACCAGAGAGTGACAGGCAACCCACAATTTAGGACTTTCAGGTCCTACACCTATAGACGGATCATAGCTTAGACTTTATTTTTTGCAAGTTTTAAATCAAAAATATTCAGGGCGGTCCAGTGGTTAGGACTCGGCACTTTCACTTCTGTGGGCCTGAGTTCAGTCTCTGGCCAGGGAACTAAGATCCCACACGCTGCACGGTGGGATCAAAAAACAAAAGAATAAATAAATAAACATTCATGAATATCTCACTGTATTGATTGTAAGGAGTTTATATTAATTAAGAATACTTTTGCTGATAATTCTTCACTGAGGAGAGAATTAGGAAAGACCTTTCTTTTACCTGTGGGAAATCAAGGATATGTGACAGTATTAATAAAAACCATCTCAGGGAATTCCCTGGTGGTCCAGTGGTTAGGACTCAGTGATTTCACTGCCGGGTCCTGGGTTCGATCCCCAGTCGGGGAACTAAGATCCTGCAAGCCGCGTGGTGCGGCCAAAAATAAAATAAAATAATAAAAATCATCTCATGCATCAAACTTTTTTGAAAAATGGTGTTATTTGGAGTAGGCACTGGCCCAGTTCACAGAACACAGGTGTTGCCAGCAGAGCTTCTCCTCCAGGGATGCTGCTTGTATCCCAGGCCTCTGTCATGAGTGCTGTATAGGGAATGGTTGGTTGGCACTGAGGAAGCCCTGAGAGATGAGGTTGTACACCCAAGGTATGACGGGGCAAGTGCACGTTGACTCCCTGACCCCACCTGGATCCCTCCTTGCCCCAGGGCTGCTCGAGCGACCAGTGCTGTCCCCGCCTGTGGCCATTGACACCGCCCGCTACAAGATCTTTGTGTCTGGGAAGAGTGGTGTGGGCAAGACAGCGCTGGTGGCCAAGCTGGCTGGCCTGGAGGTGCCCGTGGTGCACCACGAGACCACTGGTGAGTCCCTCCTTAGGAGGCCTTCCCTGGGGTGGAGAAAAGACTGGCCCTGGACCACATAAGCTGGGATTTGTAACCAGCCTTACCATTTACTCTGCAACCTTGGAAAGTCACTTCACCTCTCTGAGCCTACATTGGCTCCTTTGTCCAAAAGGGATAATAGTACCAACCCCTTGGTGTTGTGGTGGGGTTGGTACTAGCGATAGTGGTGGTAACATGCCTAGCATTGAGCTGGCACAGGGTAGGTGCTCAGAAAACACCGATCTTCCTTTCTTGTTTCCTTCTACTGGATGCTGATTGACCATCATGTTGCAATATCTGAGAGTATTCCGGGACCTTTGGCTTCCCCAGTGCACAAGAGGGAAACTACTTTGTCATGGCTAGGGCTAGGGCTGCCTCTCCCTGGTAGACTGGAGGCTGCTCTGGGGCAGGGCAGTTTCCCCCATCAGACTGAGAATTCTCCCACGTCAGGGACTATGCCTTCCCCATCAGACTGAGGACCCATTAAGGTAGGGACATATCTCCTCTTCCTGTTCCTTCTGGGCCCCCTACTCCTCTCCACCTCCACCTCTCCCATGCTGAGTGACTGACCCCGGCCTCCCCAGGCATCCAGACCACCGTGGTATTCTGGCCGGCCAAGCTGCAGGCCAGCGACCGTGTTGTCATGTTCCGCTTTGAGTTCTGGGACTGCGGGGAGTCTGCGCTCAAAAAGTTTGATCACATGCTGCCGGTGAGCAGGAACGTGGGCCTGGGTGGGTCCAGGAGGGGCTGGTTGCCTGAGGTGGGCTTCTGAGTACAGGCACCTGAGCCTGGCCTGCCTGGTCTGCAGGAGCCAGAAGTGGGCGTGAATGGACTGAGGATGCTGCCTGGGCTGGGAGACCTCTGCCCTGGGACCAGCCACTCCCTGCTCTGGGCCGCAGTTTCCCAGTCTGTGAAAGGAGGGATGGTGCTGAGACTTCTCAGGGCCCTGCAGCCGATAGGTTCTGGTTACAAGCCTCGCATCGGCCTCCAATCAGCCTTTCTATCCCAGGCTTGCCAGGAGAAAACAGATGCTTTCCTCTTCCTCTTCTCCTTCACTGACCGTGCCTCCTTTGAAGACCTCCCTGGACAGCTGGCCCGAGTAGCAGGCGAGGCCCCTGGTGTGGTCAGGATGGTTATCGGCTCCAAGTATCCTTTGGGTGGCCCCTAGGACTGTCAGAGGCCACACTTGGCAAGGCACGGAGCAAGAGTGTCAGGCAGCCTGCCTCTGCCCAGCTATGGGGTCCAGCCCCATGGGCTTTATCTTAAAGGCTGCAACAGGGCCTCCCCCAGACCCTGGGTGTTGGGGGCAAGGGAGGAGGGAGAAGGCTGGGTTTGATGGAGTGGTAAGCAGAGGTGCCCGGACAGGCTCCTTGACCCTCCTCCAGATTTGACCAGTATATGCACACGGACGTGCCTGAGCGTGACCTCACAGCCTTCCGGCAGGCCTGGGAGCTGCCCCTCCTGCGGGTGAAGAGTGTGCCAGGACGACGGCTGGCAGATGGACGCACGCTGGATGGGCGGGCTGGGCTGGCCGACATTGCCCACGTGCTCAACGGCCTGGCAGAGCAGTTGTGGTACCAGGACCAGGTGGCAGCTGGCCTGCTCCCCAACCCCCCAGAGGACCCCCCCAGCTGAGGGGTGGTGGCATGATGAGTGGGCACTCCCCACCCTCAGGTGACCCAGAGCAGGACCCACGGCCCAAGGCTGGGACAGGAATATTGATCTCATCCCGAGGACTGGCCGGAGGGTCCTAGTCAGGGAGAATGGGGGCCTGAGAAGGCTCCCGGCCCCAGAGCACTTTCCTTGTGGAATTCTTGGCAGTGAAGTGGGGCACAAGGCTCGGTAGGGCAGCCATCTGAGGGCATCTGGCTGTCCTCAGGCCTCCTCCCTCTGCCCTAGGAGTCTGGGTTTCTGGAAACTGAGATACTGTATGCGCAAGGCCTGAGGGCTCAAGCATCTCTCCAGCCTCCCCCTGCCCTTCCCCCTTCTGCAGCAACCATGGAGTGTGACTGGGGAGAGGGAGTGCCTCAGCTGGGCCCTGGACCTCAAGTGACTTCAGTCAGAGCTTGTACGTGTTAGTTGAGGTAACACCATCTGCTGTACCAGGTAAACCCTGAACTCTCAGTGGCTTAACTTAATAGAAGTTTTTTTCTTTCTATGTCTCACCTCAGGTGGAGGTGAAGGTGGGTGTGGAGGCCCTGCTCTATACACTGATTCAGAGACTCAGGCTCTGACATCTTCAATGAGTTTCTTCCCAGTTTGTCCTGGGGCATCAACATCCAGTCAGCAGATGGGATGACTGCAGGTGGAAGGTCCCCTAGCAGGTTTCTATGGACCTGGCCTAGGACAGTGTGCCTCATTTCTGCCCACATTCCATTGGCCAGCACCTAGTCACATGGTCACACAGAGCAGCAGGGGAAGTTGGGAAATGTAGTCCACCTGTGTGTCCAGGAAGCAAGCACCTCACTCTGGAATTCCTTTTTTTGACCATGAAGCTGTCAAGCTATGCTTAGGGCAGGGGCCCTGCCAGCCTGGGGGAACCAGAAAGTATCACTGGGCAGGGACTGGGCCAGGTGCGGGGTCAGGGTGTGAGCTGGCAGGAGGCCAGCAAGGACAGGAGCAGGAAGGTGAGTGACCTTGCGCCCTTGACCCATCAGCCAGACACTAGTGAATGCGGGCTAGAGTTGTAGGCACCTGTGGGCATGTGCCTACAAAGCTGGCCTTTATACTTTCTTTCCCTCTCTGGTGACACCCTCTGCAGCCCCATAGATGGACCCCTGGGCAGAGAGCCGGCCTGAGTCTGACCCAGCTGGAAGGGCCCTGGATGCCCAGGTCAGCCAGCTGACCCTCAGAGCCCCCCTCGAGAAAGCAGCTCTGAACACTCCACACTCACACGCATGATCATGTGCCCACACACACCAGTACTTGCCCTAAAATGCTGCCCCGCTTCTCCCTCCTGGCACACACAGGAGGCTCCTGCATGCTCTCCCTGGCTTACGCTCCTACGCTTACTGATGGCCTGCATGGCACTGCTTGTCAGTCTGTCCACCCTGTGCACTGCCTGTAGGTTTGTCAACCTTTCCAGGGCCTAAAGCATTGATTTTAGCACCTTCTTATCCCCAACTCAGGTTCAGAGCTGAGACCTGAGCTTAGCCCACGTCCCAGAGGAGGAATGTTGCTGGGCAGGACCCAGGCCTCACAGCCTGCACAGCCCACCGGCCGACCCCTGCTCCTGGGCCGCAGAGTGTCCCACTGCTGCTTTCAGCTCTGCCTTGGCCCATTTCCCTCTGGTCTTAGCTCCAGTAGACCTTACCCACCAGGCAGAGCAAGGCAGGACCCAGCAAAGGTGGCCTCTGGGCTGGAATGTGACCTTCCGGCTATGGATACCCGTGTGTGTTGTGGGCACCAGCTACCCCACATCCCAGCCAGTTATCTGAGGCCTTAAAGCTTCAGCATCCTTCTTGGGCACCAGCTCAGCCAAGAGCCAGAGGCTGCTCTAGAGAAGTAACCTAGATCCTCCCCACAGCAGAGCAGGGCACTGGTTGGCACTGGTTAGCACTGCTCCAGTCAGAGAATCGACCCCTCACCCACTTTCACCCCAAACCAAGAGGTAAACAATTCCCTTCTCCCTGAGTAAGAACAAAGTGGGGACCACAACGGTGCTAAGACTTGGAGCCGGCCACCTGCTGTCCCAGCGCTGCTTTCTCAGCCCCTCAGAGCCCAGGCCCAGTGCCACTTTAGTATTTTGTAGGCTACCCCCTTAGAGGCCTCCACCGAAGTGCAGAGAACTGGAAGCAGGAGGGAGGAGGGAGCTGCAGAGCCATAATTCTCCTAATAGCTGGTGGCTGTCCCTGCAGAGTGGACTCTGGGCAGGGTCGTGGAGAGCGAATGAGAAGAGAATGTGTGCACACACACACACACACACACACACACACGGACTCAGGCCAGCTTTGTGGGCCTGGCACCTGAGCAGTCCACAGGGCTCTGCACTGGGAGGCCCACACCTGGTTTAATGCTCTGCTGTTGCCATCGTGAAATCCTTAATTTTTCAATAGTTTTCCACTGGACACCACCAATCACGTGGTAGGTCCTGCACAGGAGAGGGTCCAGACTCCAGATAAAGTTCCTCTCTCAGGGCCTTGGAGACAGAGGCCATTCTGTGGCGTGTCCGGAGGCCACCGGAAGTTGGGGAGTTGCCTTCTCCCCATTTTGGTGCCAGAAATTCCACTGTTAGATTAAGCCTTACAACAGCGCAAAGGCAAATACCCTGCTGCTCCCTTTGTGGGCCCTGAGGCTACCTGGAGGGAAGGGGTGGTGACTGTGCCCCCAGGGTGGTTCAGGGGTGAGCCCTGACTTAGAGGGGATCCTTGGGAAGAGGGTAGCCACGTTTGCTCCTCCGCGCCCTGGAGCCCGCAGACTTCAGGGCTCTAGAGGGAAGCTGGTGGGAGGAGGGACTAGCTTCTCCAGGGGTGGGGGTGTGTACGTGCTGCAGCCCAGCCCTGGTGCTGTTTGTCAGGACATCCCAGACCCCTCTTCTTCCCTCCCCAAGCCCCTTTCCTACAGAGGGGGAGTGCTATGGACCGAATGGTTGTGTCCCCCCAGGATGGGTACACTGAAATCCTAGTCCACAGTGTGATGGTATTAGGGGCCTTTGGGAGCGGATTCGGTCATGAGGACAGAGCCCTCATGAATGGGATTAATGCTTTAATAAGAGAGACCCCACAGAGCTCCCTAGCCCCTTCCACCATCTGAGGACACAGAGAAAAAGTGCTGGCTGTGAACAAGGAAGAGGGCCCTCTCTAGAACTGGGCTGTGATGATGACTTGATCTTGGACTCCCAGCCTCCAGAGCCATGCGAAATAAATGTCTGTTGTCCATAAGCTACCCGGTTTGTGGTTTTTTGTTATAACAGTCCAATGGACTAAGACAGGGAGGCTGAGGCCAGAGAGGGTCAGGCGTTTCTCCAAGGTTGCAGAGCCATGGAGCAGCCCTGATGCCCTTAGCCTTCCATACCCCTCTCCCCTGGACTGTCCCTTCCCCTCATCCCCCAATGGTGTCTTCTGGGTCCAGCCCCTCACATGATCCCACCTGGTCTTGCTTTTCCAACCAGAAGCCTGGGGCTGCCTGTAGGAGGGGAAATACGGTACTGGTGCCTTGCTCCCTCCTCCCTCTCCTCTTTCTCTCCTTCCCCCATCCTTCCCAGGCCACAGTGAGCTGGTAAGTGAAGCTCCTGCCTGCTGCCAGCCACCAGCCAAGCCTGGCCTTGTGGACAACAAGGAGAACCCCAGGCAAGTTGCCTGCTCCCAGGATGAGAAAGGGGATGCAGGAGCCAGATCTGCAAAGGCTGCTGGGCAGACCTCCAGAGCCTTGGGTGAGTCCGGAATGGGGGTGGGACTCCCTGGTGCTGCCCTGGATCTCCTTACTCCCAGGGCAGCCTGGTGCCAGCCATGACACCACCCCCGGCCTCCACCCCGTGCCATGAAACAGACTTGGGGGAGCAGTGCCCAGAGGGTGGCATGGGGCTCAGGGCCCAAGACAAGTCAGAGCTGTGTGGAGGCAAATCCCCAGAGGCCCAAGCTGGGAGTAAGGGGGTGGGGGGGGGCCCTCCATCCCTGTGACCTCAGACCTAGAGGCTCGGCCAGTGGGGGCGAGGTGAAGTGGGGAGAGTTGGTGTTCAATGCTATTCTAGAAAGAAGGGGTGTTTCCTGGGAGCAAAGGGGACCGACTGAGGCTTGGGACCGTGGTCCAGAAGGAAGGTGAAGAGCTGTGACCTTGGATTGTTCACTGTAATTCCTTTGTGTCATCTGTAAAATGGAGATAACAAGAGCACCCACTCACTTCTTCTGAGTTGTAACAAGCAAATGCGTGTAAAATATTTAGCACTGGGCCAGGCACTGAATTAAGGGCCCAGCAAATGTTGGCTACCGACTTTGTCGCTGCTGTTACTTACGGTAGTGGTGGTGTTTCTGGGGCTGAGAGCGAGTGGAGGAGGGAGAAGGGTCGCAGATCGCGCCGACAGCGCCTCCATTGTTGCGCTTTATATTTAGCCAGAGGCGGGCGGGCGGGTGGGCGGAAGGAGGGGCGGCCCAGCTGGGCTGGTGAAGTTCCTGGCACCTGCACCTGCGCCGGGGACCTCTCACCCGCACTCGGGTCCTGTTGCGCCCAGGACGGCGATGGTGCCGAGGACAAGGACCGGAGGACGACCGTCTCTGCGCGTCCCGCGGCAGCATTTGTGTCCCAGACTCCGGAGGCAACTTTTACCGCGACTGGAAAACCGAAATCGGTGAGACTGGGGCCAGACAGGACTCTTACCCCCACTTCACCGCTTCACTCAGGCAGCCAGAGTAGCCAACCCACAGTCCCTCTCTTACAGGGAGGAAAGAGAGGTCTTACCTCCGCGAGGAATCCCGTGGCATCTCTGGTCCTTTTCTTGCAATGGGCAGTTCCTCCTTTGAGCTAAGCCCAGTCGCTCTTGCTGTGGCGCGAACTGTGTCCTTTTTTTTTTTTTTTTTTTAATTTATTTATTTGGCTGTGCCGGGTCTTAGTTGTGACACGCGGACCTTCGTTGTCTCCTGCGGGATCTTTAGTTGCGACACGCGGTATCGAACCCGCGCCCCCTCGTTGGGAGCGCGGAG